TTAAACTCTTAAACTCTTAAACTCTTAAAAATGTAGTGGTTGTTTGTTCACAATTGCTAATCTCCAAAAGTTCTTCACCAATTGCTTTGAAATTTTGACAAAACGTAGCATTCGAATACATGAATGTTTCTATATACATATATTATATAGATGTCACACTGTGACAGGTAAAAACATGATTTTTTGTAAAACCAGCGGCATCTGGTGGACGTAAAAGCAACACACGCTATACTAAATATTTTACGATTCCATTTCAATGTTTCCGATAGCATTGTTATATTGAATTTTCATAGATTTCAATTTATTTTCATTTTGATTTAATTATTTCCTGTGACATTGCGTTGGAATTGAGCTGTGTTGTTTACCATAGCGTTCATTTCATGAGTATAGTATATTCAGAACAGTTCGGCCTCTCTCCAGCTTCGTCCCGACAGTCCCTTAATATGTGTGGCTGGGCTGATGCCGCACCCTTTCTCTTTTCCGCCCCTCCTCCGATGAGCTTCAGCCATTTCAGCCAAGAGGAGCCAAAGCCCTTTGACTTCCCCTCCCCTCTCTCTCCTCTCTCCCCTCCCCTCCCACCAGGCCTTTGCTGTCTGCGGCGGGGCGGCGCCTGCGCCATCCCTCGGCTGCCTCCCCCCGCCCTTAAGCCGGCCTCCCCCCGCCCAGAAAAGTGGACCTCCAGAGGAGGCAGAGGCAGAGCGTCTCCTCAGACCGGCCGGCCACGCGTGCTCTCCACCCCCTCTCACAGCGAGCCAGCTATGGCATCGCTAAGGCGGCTCCGATGGGGCGGTGGCGGCAGTGTCAGCCTGAGGCACAGCGGGGCTAGGGCGGCCGCTGGGTGCCCCATTAGGTGGCGGCTGCAGTGGTGGTGCCATTTCTGGATGGGGCTGCAGCTGGCAAGGGCTGCCTCGCGTCTGCGTTGCCAGGGGCGGCTCCTTCCTCCTCCTCCTCCTCCTGCTTCTCAGGGGACGTCGGCCGCCTCCTCTTGCCACTGCCGCTGAGGGAAGCTGGGTTGGGGGCGGTGGCCACCCCATCCTCCACTCCTCTTCAGCTCGGCTGGGCCAGCGCCTGAAGGAGCCGTCGGCGTCGTTGGTGGCATCGTTGGGCCTTCCTCCCACCGGCCGCAATGCAGCAGTGGCCGCAGCCGCAGCAGCCTCACTCAGCGGCGGAGGTGCAGGAGAGGAAGAAGATGGCGCAGCCCGCGATGCTGCCTTGGTGGGCCGACAGCAGCAGCAGCAGTGGTGCCGGCTTGGAGGACTTCCCGCCCGGCATGCTGGCTCAGCCTCCGCTGCCTCCCCCGGCCTCCGCTGCCGCCTCCGTCTCTGTCTTCTCCTGCCCTCCCAGGGCGCCTCCACCACAGAGCCTGGCGCTGCTCTCGCAGGGAGGCGTTGGGGGTCCGGCGGGCGCCCAGTTGAAGAAGAAGAGTGGCTTCCAGATCACCAGCATGACCCCGGCTCAGATCTCGGCGAGCCTCAGCTCCAACAACAGCATCGCCAAAGACACGGAGAGCTATGATGACCTGGATGAGTTGCACACCGAGGACTTCTCCTCCTCCGAGATCCTGGATGTTTCGGTCTCCCGGGCCACCAACTTGGGGGAGCCCGAGCTCAGCTCCTCCAAGGAGATGCTCAACAACTTCCACGAGGCCAACAGCCCCGGCACCATTTCCCCCAACCAGCCTCGCCTGGCCCAGCAGCCCTGAGGCCTGACCAATGGCAGTGCCCCCCCCGCCGCCCCACTATGCCCACGGGGGACACCCCCAGCCTCCCTCCCATGCTGGGGTCCCCCCGTCCATGTCCGGAGGGGCCCCATCCAGCCCATTATTCTGGAGGCTGCCCGTCGCGGGGAGCTTGGAGGGCGTCAGGCTGGAGCCTGCGGGAGCATCCTCCGTGGAGGCTCTTGCAGGGGCCACCGTGGCTCACTTCCATGCGGGGGCTGCATCTGCCGGGGGAGCCGTGGCCAGTGCNGATGGCCTTGTCCACTTCCTCAGGAGTAACAGACTGAAAATCGTGAAATTGTGTGGTTAAAAGTGTTAACTAATTTGCTTGGCCAAGCTGACTCACTTATCAGAATAGCAGTCTCTTCCTGTTTTCCAGTCTTCAACTTTTTACCTTTAATGTCCCAATGTCCTACTGAACTTTTATCCCCACAACTCTTAAAAATTGCTTTCTTTGCAAAAACATCTCCATCAGTTTCTTACAATCCTTACTTTTTCTTTTTTCACACAATTGTTGCGTTTTGCATTTTCCTAACAGGTGGTTCCACATGATCTTTCTAACCTTGACAACATTATGTCACATTCTTTGTCCAGATCAAGTCTTTCTCTCTCCCTTTCTTCGTCTGCTTCTTCTTCTCCAAGAAGAAGCATAGCTTTATTATAGGGAGGAGGTTTCAGGGGCATTTGCTTGGAGATTGCTGTTTCTGTTAACCTTTGCACAAGTCCCCTAACACTGGGGATTATGCAACATCCCAGAGCTACTAGCACCCCTGCCACTACTGCTAAAGAAGTAAAGATCGATACTACCATACCTTCCCATTTTTCAAACCAAGAACCCAGCCAACCTGTTAGTTCAACTCTCTCAGTTCTAAGCCAATTCTTCTGCTAGAGTGGTCAGGTCTTGTAAAGCCCTGGTAATTGTTCCATCAGGAGCAGTATTATTAGCTAATATAAATAAAAATGTAAATGTTTGTTTGTTCAATATCTTAAATCTCCGAAAGTTCTTCACCAATTGCTTTGAAATTTTGACACAATGTTGCATTCGAATACGCGCATGTTTTTAAATATTATGGACACCTGCAAATCGATTCACATGGCTGGGGCCATCCCTCTTCCCAATATGCTGGGTCTAACCTAAGTACCTTGTTAGTTTCACTGTCCACCCTCCCTATTGGTTCACTGACAGCAATTCTATGGCTAGGACCCCATTCCCCTAAGTTTTCAATATACACGTTACCATATCCCAACTGCAGTTTACATTCTAATTCCATAATCTATATAAATAAAAATGTAAATGTTTGTTTGTTCAAAATCTTAAATCTCCAAAAGTTTGCTTTGAAAGATTGCTTTGAAATTTTGACACAACGTTGCATTTGAACACGTGTGTGTTTTTATATACCTATATTATATAGATGTCACACCTGGGACAGATAAATACATGCTTTTTTGAAAACCAGCACCATCTGATGGACATAAAAACAACACACGCTATA